CACCTTTGAACTAATATCCAATTGCATTTTTTTCGCCTCAGACATCCACTTGCGTCTTTTTTCCTTTCATCATTGGCAAGTTTCCGACAAAACACCTTTTTAAATTTTACAATTTCTTCTTTTCTTTGCGGATTCAACAATTTTATCTGGTTTGCGCTCGTAAACGCTTTTGAGCTTATTTTGAATTATATTTTTCAACTGCAAATCTTCACTTATATTGTGCGTCCTTTTTGTTTTATCATAGAAAATATTTAAAAAAATATCTTGTATAGAAGTCAAACTGTTTAATTTTTGTGTTTTTGAAGATTTAAAAACCGCAACGTGAAGTAAACAAAAGGTGGAGACGTAAACAGCTAAACATCAATTGAAGGAAATTTAAAAATTCAAACAGACGATTTAGAATAAGAGAACTAAAAACGACAAAGGAATTAGCCGAAGTAATCATAGAACATATTAGCTAATAAATCAATCATGTCAAGAAATCGTTCTGGGCACCTTTGGAAAATCGGCGGATTTTTGAGTTTAGACGGATAGTTATTTCAAGAGCTTTAAAAACCATTATAAAGATATGTCCAAAACCATTAGCGCATTAGATTAAAAAAAGATTCTGTTTGCAGAAAAACCATTGGAATGCATGTGAATTTTAACGTATTTTTCTTGCACAATCTAACATTTTACTTTTTTAATTCAAAAACTGTACAGTTCAGCAAAAAACAGTTTTTAGATAATTTAGATTAGAAAATAAAAAAAATATTCTGTATGAAGAAAAACCGTTGGCGTGGACAGTTTTTTTTCTGGAAATTGCCAAATTTTACGTCCAGCATTAATTTTAGCACATTTAACACAGAGTTTTCAATTTGTTTACAGAAAACGATGCTTTTTAGCAGAAATCTCAGTTGAACTTTTTTCCCAACTCAATTTTAAATAGAAAATGCTTTTTGTTTCCAGAAGAACCATTTACTAGCACCGTGTTTCTGTCTCGAAAATATGAAATGTTGGATATGTATAACGTTAATTGCCTCGCACAGTCTCATGGTTTTCATTTTTTCAACCAAAAACTATGCTTGCATGCAAGCAACAGCATCGAAACGAGTTTTTTTCCAACCCGAATCTGGCACAAAAAAATAATTTTTGCTTGCAGAAAAGCCATTGGTGTGCACCTTGTTTCATTGGATTATCTGGAAAGAATCTAATGAAACGCTGTTGTCTAGAAATTAGTGTCAATTTTCATTATTTGTGCCTCCGGTGTTCCTCATTTAGACTTGTATCGTTATTTCGTCTCTCATTTACTTATCTTTTTGTCCCATTAATCAAGCATTTTTTTCGTTTCCCATACGCAGTCCATCTTTCTTCACAATGATTTCAACCTAACAATTTCGTTAGATTTAGATTTTGTCTACTATCTTTAAAAAACAATGAGAAATTCTTACTTTTGCACAATTTGAGCGCCGCTATTTCCATTCAATTGCAAGAATTGCAAATAATTCCATTTATTTGCAGTCTTTGCAGGAAAGGAAAATTCTAAATCACTCACGAATTCGAGCAAATACAATTTAAAAATTAATAAGCAAAGTCAAATCTGAATTCAACAAGCGAAATCACAATCTGAGCTGAACCCAACCCATTTCACTTCAAGTTTCAGAAAAAGAATGAATAAAGTAAAAATTGGCATTAAACCTCAAAAAATCAGATTGAGTTATTAAAAAAAAACATTAAATTGAGATGAAATCAAGACTGAAAAATGTGTAAATCAAACGTGTTTTCAATCAAACAATTTTGAATCACCCCGTATATGTTTCCTGAAGTTTGATTACAACGTTATTTCGTTACGAATAAATAATAATCAGCTCATTCTTTACTTTAGAATTTTAAAATTTTTTGTTTGAGCTAGTTTTTGTAAAAAATCCTCCGTTACAGGATGACTTCTTCTTGGTTCAGACCGTTAACACCATTTCTGGTGGTTCCCTCTCTTGTACATCGTGGACTTTCGTTCCAATAGCAGTTTTCCATTCCAAACCTCCAATTTAAGTGTTCTTATATTGTTCACTTTAGCGTTGAGAACTTTCAAAAAAACTTCCTTTATATGTGCTTCCACTGGTTCTTGTGGTTCACGCTTATTAACACTTTTGAGACAATTTTTCACTGAATTTTTCCATTTCATTCCATTTCAAACATTGTCGTTTGTTTGCTCTCTTGGAGTCATTTTCAATTGAATTTTCCGGTTCCAAATATCCACTTTCAGCGTTGCGCTCTTTTCCAGTTTAACAGTTAGAAATTCCTAGAAAATACCAACTTTAAGTGCTTCATTTTTACATAACTTCTTTTTTGGGTCTTCGACTAGGTCTTGTAGCTCGCTCTCTTTTACTCTTTTGAACTAATTTCCAATTGCATTTTTTTCGGCTCAAACCTACACATGCTTCTTTTTTCCTTTCATTATTGGCAAGTTTTCGACAAAATACCTTTTTCAAGTCCATAATTTCTTCTTTTCTTTAGGGATTCAACAAGTTCATTAGGTTTGCGCTCGTGAACGCTTTTGAGCTCATTTTGAATAGCATTTTTCAAATACAAATCCTCACTTAAATTGTGCGTCCTTTTTCGCTTTATCATCAACAATATTTAAAAAGATAATCTAATTGTTTCTCATGAAATATCTTTTGATTATTTTAGGTTTTAATCAATATTTGAAATTTGCGCAAATACATTGATTTGAAATCCACAAATAAACGAATCTGAATGAAATTCCGCGTGTTGATGAATGCTGGGATGTTTGAATGTAGCACAGATAACACTGGAGAAGTTTTTGAAAAATGTTGAAAATCACGAAAAAAATCAAATGATAGTAATCATTTAAGTAGTAATGATCAGTAATCAGTTAACAGAAAAAGAAAGAACAACAGAAAGCTGTGTGAGTTTAAATAAAGAATTATTTAGGGTTGGAATGGACACCGATTTTGCATTTTATTCCCGTTTCTTTCTTTCTTCTCCCTCTTTCTGAGTTTAACTGCAGTTTCTAGGACAGTTTGCGCGAATTCGTGCGATATTAACTTGACAACAATCTAGTTTCGTTCAGTTCGTCAAAAAGATTCCTCCTGAACTGAAAGTAATTAAAAATCTCCAAATTGGCAGTCTTCCAAAAACCTTTTAAACTGTACAATGCATTTACCTAAGTATTTGATCTATTTGCTTGTATTTATACAGAGTGGGCCAATTTCTCTCTAGAAAAACTGTTTACTTAAAAAATATTTACATGATATCGTAAATGAATGTGTCTATTGAAAGACACAGTTTTCTGTTCCTTAGAAGACTTTCCAATTAAAATTAAGCTATTTTTTGCAATTCAGCAGTTCAAACAAATAGTTTGTGATCTAAGAAAATGCTTGAGTTTTATTCGAAAACAATCAACAGTTTTTATGAATTTGCGTTAAGACAGACGATAAATCAAAATCAATAATGAAATAAGTAAGTATCGAAGGAATCAAGAACTTTATTTAAATATCTACGAGAGCCTTAGTGAAATGTATAGATTTAAAGAAAACCGTTTTTTTTTTTAATTTTTAAATTAAGTTCTCCTGTGATATAACAAAGTTTCTTAGAGTCAAAGAACATTGCAATATAAAAGGATTTTCAAAGAAGATGTCTCCAAGACAAAAAAGAATTTCTCAGAAATTTGCAAAAATATCACAAGGTTTTGAAATTCAAGGCTTTATGTTGACCAGTAAAAGGCGCACGATTATTTTTGTCAGTCCGAAAGCAGTGGTTAGTAAATTTCTTCATGTTATTTGCATTAAACTAATTTCTTTTCTGCTAAATTTAATTTTGGCATTAAAAGGCAAAGAGTCGAAGAAACGTGTTTTTGAGGAATTTGTTCTATTAAATTACCCAAGCATAAACGTTTTCTTAAGACAATATATGTTGAAATATATTTTAAATAATTTGAAAGCAACGGTTTTCTTATTTCAATCTTTTGCATCACTTTTATCAAGTACTTTAGAAGGTTTTTTTATGTAAATCTCGATTTCTTCACTTTCTTCAGATTTTAACCACATTTTCACAATAAATTCAATTTGCTTTAAAATTGCTTTCCAATGCTGTCTTGAGGTATTTATTATTATTATTATTATCTTGAGTAGTTCGTTATTTATTTGTTTCGCTGTGTTTTATTTGTAAAAATTTTAGAATCGTAATAGTTAGTTAATCAAAAAAAACTTTTTTGCTTAATTCAATATTAAGAAATAATAAAATCGTTGCAAGCAGAATTTTAGAGAAATTGCCGTTTGAGAAATATAAACTCACATTCATGTTTCACTGCAGTTTCTAGCATTGTTATTTGTGTCTGTTTCGTTTTTTCGAATTTTTAAATATTATTACATTTTCAAGAAATAATCAAAATGTATTACAATAATGCAAGCAAAATATTGCTTCGTTATTGGCCATCAAAAAAAGAACGATTATTTTCGACACTGCGAAAGCAATGATTGTTAGCATTTCTAGTGTTCCTTGGCTTGAACTAATTTCCTTCTAGATCCAAATTAAATTTTATTTTCCTTTAAAAATGTTCTAATTTGTCCTCTGTCCTCTAAATTAATTATTTTAGAAATAATTTCAATTGTGTTTGAAAAAACCGAATAGTCGATAGAAGGCGCTTTTGAGGAATTAGCCTGAGTACACGTTCCATTGTGCCATTAAATTGAGCAAGTGTAAAAGTTTTCTTAAGGCAAACCAAGGGTTTAAGAGTTCAATCCGAATGAAAAAAGTGGCCAAAATTAATAATAAAGAACCAAATCTTCTGCAATATGTCAGATAAACTTGCGATACGGCACTGCCTACATATATTTTACCCACATCTTTTTCAACGTCGGGTTGTTTTCTGGGAATTAGTTACCTTGCTGCATTTCGGTCATTTCCGAGTAGAGGCACCAAATTAAACGTTTTAGCAACATATGTTTGAACGAATATTAATTGATTCAATCCTGTTCTGGTCGAATGGTTCTAAACTGAGCAGCCAATGCTGACCTTAGCAAGCTATGACCTATCGCAGTAGATCAGCTAATTTTTTTCAAACATCCATTGGCCGATTAAACAGTGTCTTTGAAATGGAGGAGTGGGCGAATTATTCTGCTGCTGCGAAAAGTTGGCAGCAGGGATGATGTATTAATGCATGAGTGGCTCCTGAGGGCGCATTGCCAATAAGTTAGTGATCGAACAGTCGGGTTTACGTTATCCTGCGGTTCGGGTTTTTGCACTTTACAACTTCCACCTGCCATCGTATTCATTTTCCAAACCCTAATTATCGGGCGAAGATGTTCGATGTTCCGCCCCTTTTATTTGTAGTTCTTCTGATAACAGGTCAGTAATTGGGTTATTGTAGCACGCATCACGTATGAGGCAAAGAGCAAAAAGTTGCCTCCAAAGCTTCCGACTGTTGTTCTTGGGGGTCATAGAGCTTTTAAAAGTTTTGCTTATCGCCCAAATCATCCACTAGACATAATAAGTGCTTGAAATTTGCATGTTTAAGTGCTTGGATGTGAAACTGATGTTCATTTAAAATAGGTGAATTATCCAATATTTGCAATGCCATTAGTTTAATCAAATTCGATTATCTTCTGCTGATATACAGGCTCTTACGTCAATAAATATTGATATTTCATTATTTTTTGCTTTCAAAGCGACCAGCTCATTTTCTCAAGTAATTTTCGTTCAAAGTAAATTAGTACCAGGTTGCCTGAAAAAATATTTAAAGGAACTAAACCGCAGATGCAACATCTCACAAAGGTCCTACCTAACATTGCGTAAATAATTTCCAAGGGGTTTCAAAGCTTAATTTTTTTCCAATGTGGATGTGCTTTCCAAATTTAATGACTTTCGTTCTTCTGGCACTAGCAGATGAAAAGAAAAACTGTTAATTAGCGTAAATAAATTGCAAACTTAAAAGGCAAAATAAAAGTATTGAAGAAGCCAAGCAGAGAATGAACGACGCAAAAAACAAAAATCTAAAACTGAAACTCGCCACAAATAGCTTGTGAACTAAGAATACAAGACGCCTTTCAATTGAAAACAAGTTTTTAGTGTTAATAAACTCGTGTTGAGACAAACACTAACACAACATCTGATATAGAAAATGTACAGATTGAAGTTTCGTGTCCACGTCCTTTTGTGATGCAATATGCAAGTGTCTAAAATGCAAAAAAACATTGCAACATAAAAAGGTTTCAAACTTTTTTTTGCAAGATTAAAAAAAAACTGCTAGAATAATAGGCAAAGGGAAACTAAACAGAAAATTGGTAAATTCCTAATAAAAAATTTAATTTAATTTAATTAAAAACAATGAATTTACTTAAGCCAAAATATTTTTTACCAATGATTGCTTTTCGTCCAATTTTGATTCCAACATTCCAATAATATGGTTTGGATGATAAGTGCTTTTCTGGTATTTTTCAAATTATTCCAAATATGTAATTTAATGAATGCAATTTCATCTTATACTAAAGTTAACGAGGTTGCAAAAAATCATACTCAATAAGGGAAACTATAGGATGTTGTTGTATTACACACAAATAAACTGTATAGTTTTCTTCCTTATTAAACAACGTGCTTGCTTTTTTGTTTTCTCTATTATTCTTGTTTTTGAGCATCAATAAATTAATTTGATTGTGGCATTTTTAAGCTAAATATAAATCATAATAAGGGTTTTAAGCAATGGAAGATCCATTTACATCAGTAGTAAGTTTTGAGAAGAAATGAGCAGCTTTTTTAACTACCAAATTTTTAAAATATTTTAATTTTTTTTGTGAGTATTTTTTAAGTCAATAATTTAGACTATACAATAGATTTTAAGAATTGCCTTTGCCAACTATTGATTAAATATATTTTATTTAAATAGCTTTCTTAACTTTTAGTCTTGTCTTTATCAGTTGAACTTTCCTTAATTTTTTTCGAGTTCTCAATTACTCTGTCATTTATTTTAATTTGTTTTATTGCGTCTAGTGCATAATTTATATGTCCTTCTTCAAGCTGAGAAGACAGCAAAGCAGATTGAAAAGATAAAGAACAAAAGGAAGCAAAATAACAGCATTTGGAATGAACTAAGCAGATATTTTGAAAGCACTTGTTAAAATAATTCGGAAATAAATAGTTGGAAAAACTTGCTGCAATGCAAAAAGCGCTTGAATGAGGTAAAAATGGTGCGTGAACTCGAACTGTTGCAACGAACAAATTAAATGATCAATTAAAATGAAGCAAAAAGCAACATAATAATTTAGGAGTGGGAAAATGTGGAAGAAACTCTTCTCCATTAATTGAATATTTGGGAAAAAATGATTTGAATTTTTAAAAATTCCTGTAGCAACATTACGATTAAAGCCAATAAAAAGAAGAAAGTAAATTAGTACATAAAATGAATCAAATTCCTTCAATCTAAGCAAAACAGGTCAAACGAAGTCGAAAAAATCATTGCTAAATTAGTTGTAATAAAAATTGAATAAGTCGAAGCAGGAATGAGATAAGCGACACCTGAGACAACGGTAGAAGTTAGTAAAGGAAAAACCTAAGTCTGAACTGTTGAATTGTGCAAGATACAAACAAAATTCAGTTGCATTTGTTCGAAATTCAACCAACAAGTCTCACGATGAAGGAAAGCTGTAAAATGCTACAAGACTAGAAGAGAAAGAATAGAGAAATATAGAAAAAAATAGAATGGAGAGAGAGTAAAAAAGAGATAAATTAGAATAAATCGCCAATATTACATTTTAATTAATTTTGTGCTTAAGGTGCATAGCGAATATTACATTAAAAACCGCTGTAAGGCTCAACTCAAATTCATCATTTTCACTCTTCCAGATTCATCGTGAACACTCAAGAGTGTTTTCAACCACAAAACCAGTTTCAGGCACATTTGATTGAAAATTGAATATGTTTTAGTGAGTTTGCAGTCATTGTTGCGCGCAACATGAAAAGCTAAAATTTTACGACTAATTGACTCAGCCTGCATAAAAAAACGTTTGATACATGAAGAAACTAATGAAAATATAATCTAATCTTCAAGGGTTTGCCAGTGATTTCTATCCGTTTTAAACGTTAATTAATCTTTGTTGAAACATGCAGTACATCTGGTGCAAATGGAGCTTCAGCCTGTTTTTGGCAGGTATAATGGGAAAAATCCATGAACTTTTTTAACGATGGATTTACTTTCTGAATCTATATTATTGTTACTTTGTTTCAGGACATGTTCTCGGCGGTCATTGGTCGTACGACCATGAAGGTGAGTAAAATTTTGATTCACCATTATTTCTTCGTATTAACAGTTGATTCAATGCGCTACACACATTCCTATTTCCTTGAAAATCTGAAAAAAACCAAGTTGATACTTGATTAAATGATATGTTCAGTTTAAGCATGTGCAACAATTGTATGTGGGAAACAATCGATTGTGTCAGCAAATATATTCTCTACATAACAACGATTAAAATTAGCATGTAAGTTTTTACAAATTTGTATATGGGCATTCTGTAATCAAGAATAAAGATTATTTTCTTTAGTGTTGTCAACCATTCCCTCCTGGGCCACAATACTAGATTTTAAAGGTGTTTTAGGCCAGTTTGACTTGTAAAGTACGCAAAGAGACTTGTTCAAACACATTTCTTTGATTGCTTGAGAATTTGCCATGTGGTTTTGTCTTCTTTCAGTTATCTTGCCTATTTATTTGCAAATAAGCCAATATGCTAAATTGTTTTATTCTACGGTGCGTTTATTAAAACAACTCAACCATCAATCTCTTTAAACCGTTTTTTTTTAGTTTTGACCCATGTTTTTTATTTCTTTCTTAATTTACTGTTCCACTTGGAAGCTAGTTTTTTTAAAACTTGCTTTAAAATAATTTATCAACCCAAAGTATGCTGATACATAACCACAAATGCTTATGTAAAGTTAAAAGGAGAAAAAAAGCACGGAACAATTTCTCGGTGCTAAAAATGATGATTTGTCTCCTCTATTGATTTATAGAGAGAAGCCTGATAAATTTGTACGTCATTTCTCCGATGTTTGAGTTATTTTTAACGGTCTTCATGGAAGGAAAGGAGAATACACCTTGAACCAAACAAGAGATATTTCAGGATCAACTCAAACAGTCGAGCAGGCCTTATCAAGGATTTATTTTTGCAGAATCTTCTCACATTCTGCTCATCCCACGCACTGAAGTGTATTTATAAAATTAAAGTGTCCATTAATAAATTTCCCACAGCCATTTATACGACCCGATGAGTTATCGCTTGGTGGTAGTACGTTAAAAAATTAAGACGCTATTAACACGACAGTTATTTTGGAAAACTACTCGTTGGCACCCATTTTCCCGTCTATTTTTGTGTAACTCGATAATTGATAGCTGTGTGATTAAATACATTGTTTTGTCGATTTTCGATAGGTCAATACAAGTTTTTTTTAAGCCAGGCCTGTTTTAAAAGTCCGAAAGTCATTTTTATTAACACTCAACGATCACAACACCATATAATGCGCATAAATAGCATTTAAAGTGAATAAGTGAAGTCCAGATTTATAGTACATCCTGTCTAAGATTTACCTATTAGGTCCCCAGATTTATTGGGTCAGGGGCCTGATAAAACTAGTTCAGAAGCCATGTTAAAGTAGCCTTTAAGCTAGAAGAAAAACTGGTTTATGCGTGACTTTAGCGATTATTTTTATCAAATGTGCACAACTGGTGCTTGGAAATTATTGCAAATCGGCTCATTGTATTTTTTTCGTGTAGTGTTTCGTGGCGGCTTGATAAAAAATTCGCGCCAAATTATAAATTTAACCTTTATTTAATTTATATTAGGTTTGATTTTTTATAGCTTTCCAAATTTTGCAGTTTTTCATCCATTTAGTGCCCAAAATTGACTTAGGTTTCCAAAAAACAACGCCTGTTCCCAAAGAGAAATCAATTATAAGTTCCAATTCTTCATTAAAAGCGTTTCAAAACATTAATTCTTGTTGCGCAGTAATTTTAGTTTGGTTTCGTTACATAATTGAATTGGAAAAGTTTGTAAGTTTACGTATTTTCTATAGGTGTTAGGGTTTTCAATATTTTAGTTATATTTTATTAAGGACATGTTCAGCAAAGTTAGTTGCTTTTTTGTCAATTTTTATTGACTTTGATTGATTGATTAGTCGTACAAATCCGTACTTTGCCGTATTTTTCTTTCATTTTGGCTTACTACAGAGGGAAAAAGAGAGGGATGAATTTAGAAAGGTTTTCATACATTTTCACGTACTGTTTTCATAGAAATGTTTTCATAGAAATGTTTTCATAGAAATGTTTTCATTTATATAATGGGTTTGACGCAGCTTTTCTTGATTAAAATATTAAATGTTTTTTATATTTTAAATGGAAATCACTAAATAATTTTGCCGCAATAAAATTATTGTCTCAAATTATTTACTTCCCTATTAATTACTTCCTTCTGTGAGTTTCACATCAATGGTTAATTAATACAAGTTTCTTTCTCTCGAAGTGTTTTGTGTTTATTATCCACTCGGGTACATTCTATATTCAATACTTTTACGACATTTTTACTTATTTAACTTATCGTTGTTTTCTAATTATTTTTTAAAATATTTTATACTACTTTCTTTAAATATTTCATTCAAATATTTTTTATGTTTCCGTTTCATGTTTTATTTTTCCTCTTTGAAATGCTGCTTTCCAAATCAAAATCACTAAATAACAGTCACACTAATATTAAAAACAACATTATTGTACTAATTTAGTTGGTTTTCGAATTTTTACCTTCGCAAAATTTAATCCTTTTTTTGTTTTTCTAAGTAAATTTGTAAAAAGTAAATAAGTACTTATATTTGTAAGAACTTATATTTGTGCAAATAACTCGAAAACGAAGACAGATACGAAAAAACTGCCAAATATCAGAAAATTCTTGCATTGAACAAAAAATTTAAAAATTTGTTCGGTCGAAGTCAGTGGCGCACCACAAAAAAGTTTGGGAGGGTACAGGGGGTATGCGTTTAGAAAAAAAACATCCTGTAGATTTTCACAACCAATCGCCTTACCTACGGGTAAAGGGTCTAAACATTAGCCTACGTTAAAAATTTCAGCAAAATAGCTTATAAGCTGTAGGAGTTAAAGAGAAAACACCAAAATTTTTTTGAAACTTTAACACCCTGTATCTGGTTAACCAACTCGACTTCTTTTGAGGCCCTCTAGGTGCCCCTGCTCTGTGACCATAAGGTTGTGAATCACCCTGTTTCTTTTCATCATTTTTTCATTGTTCTCGCTTTTCTAATTAACTTTTACTAAATGTACGTCTGATTATCTTCTTTCCATTTCCATACGTCTCGAGTCTCTCCGCTTGCTGCTCATTGTGAATGTGTCTAAGCTCAAGGTGGAAGGCTCATTGCATTTGCGAAAAATGCACTTCTTTCTCCCAAACCATCAATTTAAAAAAAATGGAAATAATAAGAGAAGAAGAAATTCAAAAATGAAAAGCAATGAAGAAGACTGTGTATTTGCAGTAAAAAACTCTAATTTTTGTTGAATGAATTCTAAAATCCTCCAAGCCCTACTGATTGGTTAATTTTTAGAATATCAGCAGCAATTATTCACCCTTATCTCATATTTTAGTCCAATCTAAGTTGATTATTGTCATAATCCAAACAGAACAGGCTTGATGGACTCGAACTCTGGACTTAAATTTAACTAGATTTGTGTGTACACTTCTAAATGCATCCGGCTATAAATAAATGTAAATTGCCAGTAGGTTGCCTCTAATTGCATTAAAATACGCGTTTAAAAATAACGTTTAGGTATGAGTTTATGTGGGATTTTTCAGTTGGAAATTAAATTAAATGCAAAATATTTCAGAACATTGGGCGCCTCTATGCCAGACTGGGAAAAGCCAGTCGCCCATCGCCCTATCCCACTCTGTGGCTGTGCCAAAGGAGTTTCACCCATTTTCCTTGCATGGATATGGGCAAAGTGCTAGCGCTTTGCTGAGAAATAACGGACATTCTGGTAAGGTGTTTGGCCAGCAAAGTTCTGCCGCTTTTGACCTAATGGTTCCAATGTTAAGCTGAGGTCCGGCTGCAGAACATCGAAGCCCCCACTGTCCATGGCGGCGGCTTATCGGGGACTTACCAGCTGGATCACTTGCATTTCCATTGGCAATCCGAGCATATTATGAGCAATTATCGGTAGGGGTGTTTGATTGATTTATTTCACTTGGTTTTAGCTGAGTGTTTTTAAAGGTTCCCACTAGAACTTCACTTGGTCCATTTTGATCAGAAGCATCGCAATTTGACTGAGGCTGTGAAACATCCGCACGGCGTTGCTGTTCTGGGGGTTCTTTTTGATGTAAAATAGTTCTGGGTTAATAAAAATTTACGGAAATAATCAATTGGGCATTTTCAGTTGTCTCCAGACGACGATGAAGACTTTCAGCCCCTGTTGGAAATCATCGACAATCTGAAGGAAAAAGTTGGCGATCCCAGGCATTTATCAGACTTCAGTGCTAAGAGTTTTATTCCAAGGGACAAGGCAGGTTTTTACAGATATCATGGCTCCCTTACCACTCCTGGATGCAATGAGGGCATTATCTGGACTGTATTCACTAGCACCCTGCCTATTTCCAAAAAGCAGGTTAGCTGCAGCAAACGCTCCTCAAAAACCGTCCTTTACCACCACATGAATTCCAGGTGAAAATCTTCGAGGCACTTCAAACAGAGGAAAAGATGCCCCTAATAAAAAACTACAGATCTTTGCAGCCCCTCAATGGACGCACTCTCTACTTGAGGGTGAGCCCCATTAGGGAAAATGGAGCCAATCATCAACAGGCTCCAGTTTTGTTAACTTTGGTGCTGCTCAGCCTTATCTCGCTCTCTTATATAAGCTGGTAAGTCACATGAAGATTGGTCGATGTTGGGTACAAAAAATTCCAAAGATTGATTTTTGCTTGTTGACACCTCAAGAGTAAGAGTGGCATCGTTTGGGAACTTATATACGTAATATTGTGATAAGTTTAGTTTAAGCTAAAAGCGAAATGTGTCTTTATAGTTTTCGACTAAGTTAATCGACTATTTTAATACTTTTTAGAGTTAGTACTTAATAAGCATTAATAATGCTAAAGGGAAAGTTCTGAAACTTCTTGCAACAGTGACATGTTAAACTAGCTCAATACAAAGGCTTTCGGCCAAAAGACATATCGATAATAGTTTTATTTTGCAGATAATTGATTGGAAAATATGTAGACATGTAGACGAACAGTAATTTTAAGAGAGCTAAATATTAAATGTAATTTTAATTTTTGTATTAAATAATTAAGAAGTATTTTTTGTAAAGTTTTAGATTCAACCTGCACTGGTTTTACTCTATGCGGCTGAAACGGTTTGCTTTTGCCCCAATCTTTAATTTTATTTGCGATGCAAAAATTCGAATGCGTAATTTTTCTTTTTCAGAATTACCAAAAGATTCAACTCCCGTTTATCTTAACAGCCATCTACAATTGAGCCAAATTTGCTTTAGTTTTTCGCTGCTTCTTCTCACTGTTTTTTTTTCAGTGTTTTTCAATTGTTTTTACAAATATTTTTATGCAATTTTACTAACTAGTGTCAATTTTCAAAAATACCTCATTGTTTTAAAGTTTTCAAGGCTGACCAAACTGAAAAATATGGTGGGAAAATCGAAAAACTTTTCATTATTTGTTTATTAAACACGTTGAAGAAAAAGTGAGTCGACTTTTGTACACATTTGACTTTGTACATACTAAATTTTACGCGAAAATGTTTACACAATTTTTGAAAGAAATCATCACAAGAAAATCATTTGCATTCAAATAAAGTTGACTGAATTTTTTTATGTCGTTCGGTGTTTGAGTTATGCATATTTAAATTTGTGCAGTTGTAAGTTTCCGTTTAAGTGAGAAGGTCACGGACAAAAAATTGTAAAAAATCAGCAAATCTGGGGATTTTTACAGAGGTTTGGCCGCGTTTGCAGCAACGAGTGTGCTTTCACTCAATTGTAATCAACGTTTTTTCTTTTTTTAGGTTTCCGAATTATTGTTTTTTTAAATTTGTGTAGTGGAAAGTCTTACTGAAAAAAATTCGCCAAAAATCAGAAAATCTCTATAGTTTGACACAATTTGACATGGGTTTCTAGACAAGAGTCTGCTTTAGAGCTGTTTTTTCCTTAGTTTTGTATGTATCTGTAGAAAATCGTTAGCTTCCAAATAAAGTTCACTCAATTTTTTTACATCGTTCGGTGTTTGAGTTATGAATTTTTGAAATTTGTGTAGTTGGAAGTTTCAGTTCAAGTGAGAGGTTCACAAACTAAAATTCGTCAAAAATCAGCAAATCTGGAGAATTTTATAGAAGTTTGGCCGTGTTTGAAGCAACGAGTGTGCTTTCGATCAGGGTTGAAGCAACGTTTTTGTGTCTTGGTTTTTGAATTATTATTTTATAAAATTTGTGTAGTTGAAAGTTTCAATGTATGTTGAAGTCTCACTGAAAAAAATTCGCTAAAAATCAGAAAACCTCGATAGTTTGACACAATTTGACATGCGTTTCTAGACAAGAGTCTGCTTTAGAGGTGCTTTAAGGCAAGTCTTTTGTGTTTTTGGGTTTTCGAGTAATACATTTTTGAAATTGGGCTAGTTGGCAATTTCTGTTTTAGCGCAACCCTCTATTTAAACTTTTCCCAAAAATCAGGTCAATTTTTCAGTTTCTCCATATTTTCATAGTTATACGTAGTGGAGCAATTGCTTTAAACTGGTACGCAGCCCATTTTTATGAGTCTTTCCGGTTTAGAGTGATGTATTCTTGAAATTCGTGTAATTGGAAGTTTCAGTTCAAGTGAGAGGGTTACGAACTAAAATTCGTAAAAAATCAGCAAATCTGGGGATTTTTACAGAAGTTTGACCGCCTTTGAAGTAACGAGTGTACTTTCGATCAGTGTGATACGTTTTTGTGCCTTTTGGTTTTTGAATTATAATTTTTTGAAATTTGTCTAGCTGGAAGTTTCAGTGCAAATGAGAGACTTACTGGAAAAAATAAAAAGATTTTAAATTTTTACTCAGTTTGTGTGTGTGTAGAAAATCGTTTGCTATCAAATAAACATGATTACATTTATTTTATGTCGTTCGGTGTTGCAGTTATGATTTTTTGAAATTTGTGTAGCTGGAAGTTTCAGTGCATGTTGGAGTCTCCCTGGCAAAAAATCGTCAAAAAACAGAAAATCTCATTGACTCAATTTGGCGTGCGTTTCTACACAAGAGTCTGCTTTAGATCAGTTTTAAAGTAAATGTTTTGTGTCTTTTGGTTTCCGAGTAATGATTTTTTGAAATTTCGCTGGTGCAAGCCTCTATTTAAATTTATGTTCAAGTCTCTATTTAAAATTTTGCCAAAAATCAGGGCAATTTTTAGGTTTCTCCATATTTTCACAGTTATACACAGTGGAGCAATTGCAACTATTGCAATTAAACTGGTGTACAGCCCATTTTTATGAGTCTTTATGGTTTAGAGTAAAGCATTTTTTCAATTTGTGTAGTTAAACGTTTCAGTTCAAGTGAGAGGGTCACAAACTAAAATTTGCCAAAAATAACCAAATCTGGGGAATTTTACAAAAGTTTGACCACGTTTGAAGCAACGCCTGTGCTTTCGGTCAGTTTTAATCAACGTTTTACCTTTCTTTTGGTTTTTTAATAATTTTTTAAATTGGTGTAGTTGAAAGTTTCAGTGTATGTTGGAGTCTCACTGGAAAAAATTCGCCAAAAATTTCAAATTTTTACTCAGTTTTGTGTGTGCTTGTAGAAAATCGTGAGCTTTCAAATAAAGTTGACTCAATTTTTTTGATATCGTTCGTTGTTTGAGATATGATTTTTTTAAATTTGTGTAGTTGGAAATTTCAGTGCATGTTGTCTCACTGGAAAAAAATCAGAAAATCTCGATATTTTGACACAATTTGGCGTGCGTGCCTACACAAGAGCCTGATTTAGAGCAGTTTTAAGGTAACTGTTTTGTGTCTTTCCGTTTCAGAGTAATGAATTTTTGAAATTTTGAATGTGCAAGCCTCTATTTAAAATGAAGTGCAAGACTCTATTTAAAATTTTGCCAAAAATCAGGGCAATTTTTCAGTTTCTTCATATTTTCACAGTTATGCACAGTGGAGCAATTGCTTTAAGGTGGTGTACCAGCCCATTTTTATGAACCGTTCCGGTTTAGAGTAATGTATTTTTGAAATTTGCGTAGTTGGAAGTTTCCGTTCAAGTGAGAGAGTCACGGACAAAAAATAGTAAAAAATCAGTAAATCTGGGGATTTTTACAGAAGTTTTGGTGCGTATGCAGCAACGAGTGTGCTTTCGGTCAGTTTTAAGCAACGTTTTTCATTCCTCTTGGTTTTTGGATTATGATTTTTGTGTAGTTTCAGTGCATGTTGGGGCCTCACTAGAAAAAAATCGTCAAAAATCATCAAAAATAGGGATTTTTACACTTTTTGGCATGTTTTTCTACTCAGTCGCGTGCTTTGCACGAATTGTAAGAAAAAGTTTTTATGTCTTTTGGGTTTCGCTTAATGAATTTTTGAAATATGGGTAATTGGCAATGTCTGTTTTAGTACGAACTTCTATTTACAATTTTTACAAAAATCAGCGAAATTTCTCAGTTACTACATATTTTTATCGTTATACAGGGTTGGGCAATTGCTTTGAAACGGTGGACAGCCCATTTTGATAAGTTTTTCCGAATTCCAGCAATGAATTTTTCAAATTTGTGTAGTTGATAATTTCAGCACAAGTGATCTCCAAAAGTAAAAAAATTCCCAAAAAATCAGAAAAAGCTTGTAATTTTCAGCTGGCGACATGCTTGCAAACAGTGTTTAATTGTTGTTTTTGGTTATTGGAGTTATCATTCTTTGAAGTTGGTGCAGTTTTTCGATTGTGCGCTAGCTCGAACCTCAGTTGAAAAATTCGTGCGAAATCAGGCAGAATTACAATTTTTACCTTATTCTCGACCCAGATCGCTTTTTTGGCTCTTTTCAACTCATTGCCTTGTGTGATTTCGTTTCGGAGTTATGAATTTTTCAATTTTGAGTAGATGCCACTTTCATGTCAAGTCCAGCCTCGATAAAAAAATTATCAAAAATTAACAGAAAGCTGGAATTTGTATGAAATGTTCACCACTGTTAGCACCAACTACGTGCTTTATAATCGTGTTTGACTCATTTGTGTGGATCTATCCATTTGGGAGTTGATTTTTTGGATTTTTTGGTTATGAAGTTGGTGTAGTTGTTGATTCCAGTGTCAGCTCGAGCGGCAGTTGAAAAATTTTCCAAAACATCTGCAAAATTTGCTACTATTGCCATATTTCTCATATCTATAGCGCGGATATATTTCTATAAAACGGTGTACAGAGCATCGTCTTGTGTGTCTCGGTGTTGGAGTTATACATTTATAAAATTTGGGCAGTTGGCAGTTTTTGTGATCATGCAAATTTCAATTGGAAAGTTTCCCAAAAATGAGCAGAATGATTTTTACCAGAATGTATCCACTTTTAGTGGCGCCAATTACCTTTAAAGTGCCGCTTGAACCAACTCGTTAGCTCTTCCAGCGCTGGAGTTGGTGGTTGGATGAATTTTTGAATTTTTGATTTCCTCTATTAGCGGAGACCCTTGAAAAAAAATCAGCAATCAAAAATCATTCAAAATGAATCGACCTTTTGTACGCATTTTGGTTTGTTTCTATCCAGTAGAGGAGGAAATGTTTTGCTCGTTCAGTAGCTTTGGTAGCTTCTCAAGATGTAAAAATCCGGGACGCTCTTTTTACTGAAATTGACAAAATCCTCCAGAAGGTTTGGTATAAAACTTTGCTGTAGAGCGCTTTAAACGTTATAAATTATTTCTTAAGCTTTAAACGTAGTTGAGAACCGTTTTGATTTAGGAAAGTTTCATTGAGTTCTTGTTGCATTTTACATAAGTTAAATTAATAATTTAAATAAATAATTTCTAATGTAAATGCGTTTTCGCATTGCACAAATGCATATTCTGTACTTATTACAAATAAACATCGAACTTACTGCCAATTTTCAGTGATCATTCACAAATTGCTTTGTCAAAGTGCCACATAAATTACAATAATTAGGGCAAATAAGAGTGATAAAAGTGCGATGAAATTATACCAGTACTTTGACAAAAATAGGCCATATGCATAAAGTGCAACTATTGATAATGCAGAAAATGTGTATAATTTGAAATATTTTTTTTAGAATTGCTTATCTTTCGATAGCAAATTGTGGGATAATCAGTTTGCAGTGGCAAATAACCCTTCATAAATAGAGTAA